CCTTTAATGAAGCAGATCCTTTAGCAGCTTCTGCCACTTTGTTCTTGTTCTTCGATATCATAGCTATGGTGGAATGGGACACGCCTGACTGGTGAGCAATAAGCATCACTGATTTTCCATCTTCGTAGTCCTTAATCACTTCTAATTTTGTTTCCAGGTCAATCGCTCAATGTAGCCTCTTACTGGCAACATTAGCGGTGGATTTTATATGCTTAGGGGCCATGATGAACAAAACAACATGAGATTAAATCAAGCACAACAAAAAATGATGCGATCAAGAGATTTGGTAAACACGAGATGTATGACGCTGCTGCCAGCGTAACATGGCATACTGTTTTACAGTAACCTTTTTTTTAATATAAGTAGAAAGAGTACACTCTAAAATAATGATAAAAAGTATAGTATAGTAAATACATAAACCAGTAACACAGTCGTTTATCATCATTATCAAGTATTATGTATTGTACATAATTGTATGTGCTATACTTATACTGTATATGGCTGGCAGCACAGTAGGTTTGTCTACACCAGCATCACCAAAAACATGTGAGTAATGCATTGCGCTATGACATTATGATGGCTATGATGTCACTAGGTGATAGGAATTTTTCAGCTCCATTATAATCTAACAGGACCACTGTCATATATGCTGTCTGTTGTTGACCGAAGTATCATTATGTGGTGCATGACTGTAGAAGACTGTACATGACTGTAGCCAGAACAGACAAATCCACATAAAACAGACCAGTGGTTGCCAGGGGCTGGGGGGAGGGGAGAATGGGGAGTGACTAATATGTACAGGGTTTCTTTTTGGGGGTGATGAAAATGTTCTAAACTTAGATTAAAACCACTGAATTGTACACTTTAAATCAGTGAACTTTATGATATATAAATTTTATCTCAATTAAAAAAAAAGAAGTATTGAAGATAGACAAAGGGATCTAGCATACAGATAATAGAATTTCCTGAAGAAGAAAACGAAAACAAAGGAAATAGAACAAATCCTCAAAATTATAATTTATAAAAAATTTCCAGAAATAAAAAAGATATGAAACTATGTATTCAAAGAACAGATCACAAATCTGAGTAAATCAACCCCAAATGACCAACATCAAAACTCATTATAACAAAATTATTGTGGTTTCTTTGTTTGTTTGTTTGTTTTGTGAGGAGATGAGCCCTGTGCTAACATCTGCCAATCCTCCTCTTTTTGCTGAGGAAGACTGGCCCTGGGCTAACATCTGTGCCCATCTTCCTCCACTTTATATGGGACACCGCCACAGCATGGCTTGCCAAGCAGTGCATCGGTGCACGCCTGGGATCCAAACCAGCGAACCCCAGGCCGCCGCAGCAGAGCGCACACACCTAACTGCTTGCGCCACCGGGCCGGCCCCAAAAATTATTGATATTTAAAAAAAAAAGAAAAAATCTTTCTGGCATATTGGCAAAAAAGAACATAATTTATAGGAGAATGAAAATTAGTTTGTCATCAGACTTTTTGACAGCAGTGCCTCATACCAGAAGAAAATGGAACAATGTATAAAGAAAATATGAGCCAAGGATTTTATATCCAGCAAAACTGACCTTCAAGTATGAAGAAGAGAGATAAATTATCAACATGGAAGAACTCAGGGAACATTCTTCCTATGAGCCCTTCCTAAGGAACCTTCTAGAGAATGAGCTTCAGACAACCATAATTACTAGAGAGTAATGAAAGGACAAGTAGTGAGCATTAAGTAGAAGTTTGTGTGTAGAACTAAGTCTTAGTGAGGGTTATAGGGGATAGATTATTGTTTAGAGGCAGATGCTCTGACAATGAAGATATAGGACAACCGTTTAAATAAATGAGAGGAAGATAGAGTATATGCAAAAAATATTTTAAAAATATTTTTATTTTTTATTTAAAATAAATAAATTTTTTATTTAAAATAAAAATATTTTATTTTTTATTGAATAGTTAAAAACTATTCAATAATCATAATTGGAGGTGGTGGTATATTTTTATTACTATTATTACTCTGAGATTGTTGTATGTTTAACATGGGATAAAGCATCCCCTGCATCCTTGAGAACCAAGATTTTCAGTGTGGAAAAAAAGAGATACAAATGTAATGCAGAAGAGGTTAAGTAAAAATGCTGTAGTCCTGAACTTGAATTGGAAATAGCAGTATGAACTCATGAAGTATTTTATCTTTATGTGTGTGCATGTGAGTGTGCACCTTTTTACCCTGCTCTGCTCACTGAAAACGTCCAGAATGATAACCAATCCAGTAGCAATGAGTATCACTAGCGGGCAGATTGTAGACTTGAAATACCATTTCCCATTAAAAGAAACCAAGGCTTTTTGGAGAAATGGCGAATTCCAGTTCTGGGGCAGCAAAGGTCTGAGATGAACCTGGAACACCTTGACAGACTAGATGGCAAGGAAACCATCAGGGACTTCTACGTTCATGTGCAAGGGACTCAGGAGCCCATCGAAGAGGCCAAAGATGGGACAATTTGACCTTCAACAAGAATAAAAACCACATCGGGTTGGAATCCATCTAATACGTTTACACCTACGAGTTCACAGTGAGTCCATTAAGTGACATTTAAGTTAAAAGGACTCAAAACCAACTGAACACCTTCTGAGTGTGACATAGATGCGCTCATTTTTTTGAAATGTGGATAAAGGAAGAATCAGGCAATAACTACTCTTTCCCGTAAGCCTGTACCACGTGTTGATTAAGTTACAGCTGAGTGAAGTGTCTCCTTATAAAATTATTCCAGCTAATGTATGAAAACAAATGATGGACTTAGAATATTATCATTGTACCACTCCCAGTGAATGAGTGGATCTCTAGGCACTGAGAATAATGGCGGCTAACATCACAAAAGACTGAAGAGCAGATGTGACGTGCCTTCTGTTGAAACAACACACCACCACCTATGGTCTTGTCAAGAGGGTCAAACCTGAGTCTGATCCAGTCTGGAACCAGCGGGCAATGTGCAGGGTGTACAGAGGACAGAGCAGCATTTTGAACTGAACCCTAAGTGTGAAGGTGGCAATGTCAGACTGTGGGAGATGCTACAGGACAAATGACTCGGAGGCTTCATGGATATATTGTAAGGACAATAAAGAGAAGAAAGGGGAACGAAGAGACTTAAAAAACATGTAAAAAATTTTTAAATGGGCCAGACTAAACTATAGTATCTATGGATGCACACTTGGGTGATTAAAGCACAGAGAAACACAGTGAGTGATTACTATAAAAGTGAAGGGAGGGGTCACTTTTGGAGGGAAAAGAGAGGGGGCTCTGACCAGGATGGGCACTGGAGGGGCTCCTAGGCGGCTGGAAATGTTCTAGTTCTTAACTTGGGTGGTAGTTACAAAGGATTCACAGTAAAACAATTTATTAAGCCATACATTTGTTTCATGTCGTCTTCTATGCTTTATTTTACCATAAGAAGATTTTTAAAAATAGAGGAAATAAAGTAAAAAAGGATTGAAGATGCTTGTGTTAAAAAAAAAAAGAATGTTAGTGTATTAAAAATGTTTATTAAGGCAGGATTCCTCAGTTCCTTCTCATAGGATTAAAAATACCTCTTGGTACTGGCATCATGAAGATGAATATATTCTCTGTTGAAAGGAACTTGGGTCACTCAAACACTCAGACAATAGCTCTGTGGTTTGTATTAATAACGAACAATCTCAGATCCTTGTCACCTGAGCTGGGTGTCCAGCTATAACCTGTCTGCCTTCGCTGTAACAAGAGAAGATTGGTTGAAATGATTTCTAAGATCTTTTTTAGTTCTGTGAGTCTGATGATGATCTTCATGTTATAACACTGAATATGCACTTTTCTGCATTTCAGCATACTATATTTAAATACAGATTATGAAACACTTAACTTTTCTGAAGTGCCTTTACCTGCCATGTTCCCTCGCTGTGGGTCTTCCCTTTGCGATTGCTGTTCTCTGGAACTATAGGCATCGATAGCGGATTGGTTAAATAAAGTGCGTTGCAACCAAACTCTGGATTCCTCTGCAGCTGTCTGAAAGGATGAGCTGGACCTATATTACTGATATTGTGGGAAAGTTTACAAGATGAGAGAAAAACACAAATTTCAAAACACTATACAGTATAACAACATTGCAGTTTTAAAAAATTATGTGGAAATATTCACTTACTTGACTCTTGGTTTTCTCCTGGGAGTAGAATATGGTGGGTGGGAAAACGTTATGGAGAAATAGGGAATATTGCCTTGGTTTTTTTGGAATATTTTTGTACAGCTGCTTAAAATTATTTTAAAATTGAAGAATAATAAAGTGCACATAGTAAAATGTACAGTGTGAAGAACTTTCACAAACTGAATACTCTCATATAATCAACACCTAGATAACTAATCGGAACAGCCCCAGGCCCCAGAAACCCCTCATGCCCTCTCCCAGTCAGTACCCCTCACCTGGGATAACCACTATCACTATTTCTAACTGTGCTGTTAATTTTTTACGAGCAAAATTACTTCTACAATATAAAATATCAAAAGAAAATATCCTCAAAGTAGGGATTTCATTTATTTATTCAAAACCGAAATGATGTAATCTATTATAGAAAACCAGAAGTAAATGTGGGTCCCTAACTACAAGAAGCTCACAGACTAATGACTAATTAAATAACAGAATTCTGGTAGAAACAGAAATCCAGTGCTGCCAGCACAAGGGAACGCTGCGGGGAGCTGAGGAAGGTTTTACAGAAAGGAAAGTCTTTAAAGGATGCATAGGAGCTGGCTGTCAACCGTCCCAGTGTACAAAGAAAGAAACTTGGTAAGCGAGCACAAATGGAAACTAGCTCTTTAAGACACCAGTTTATGGGGCAGCCTGGTTACTGGTTAATCCTACCTGGTTTGGCTTCTGAAGCTGTCAATCAGAATGACATCATTGTTGATCAGGTTACTCAGGCAGTGTGCATTTGCTCGCTGTGTAAGGAGGAAAAGGAAGTCTTGGGAAACCAGCCTGGTTGCCCACAAGGGGAAAGCCATGCAGCATGCAGAGGCCGGAAAGCCTTTAATTAAATTCACCCACTGTAAGAAATGCATCTACAGCTTCAGCGTGCCGCGCTGCTGCCCCCTCTGCCAGCAGGACATGGGCTCGAGGAAGCTGGAGGAAGCACCTGTTAGCATCTCTCATCCGTTTACCAACGGGCACCAAGAAAAATGTTCATTCCTCCTCAGACCAACTCAAGGGACGTTTCTTAGGTACAGTGTTTTAAATGTTACGTTGAATTGTGCAAACCTTTCCTTCTGTGTTTTAGTCACTAAAACTTTCTTTTTCTAATATGCACTATACAGTGTGAGGTTTGGTGGATAATCCTTCCAGCGTTTTGGTGTTAAATCCTAAAATGTACATCTATTTGTTTCATAAAAATAGATGGGGTGCAGACTTTCCTGGAATGGTAAGTGCGAGAATATGTGAAGGTCAAACCAGCTCACATAAGTTTGAGAGAGAAAAACTGATAGCATGGAGATTTTTTTTTACCCATAGATTTTGTGCTAAGAGGCCAACTGGGAAAATGACCCAGCAGCTAAACTTACCAGAATAATACCTTTACTGTGAGTTAGTCTGTAACTTCTGTGACAAACAGGTACAAGGTACAGAGCCTGAAGAACAGCCACTTACAGACTATGTTGCATGGAGATGAATTAAACGGAAGACCAGAGCTGGTCTATTTCATTTGTAGTTGCCCCCTGTCTTGAAGAAAGATTTCAGAAATCAAAAGAAAGGATTGTGCCTCCTCAGTGTCCTTGTGGAGTTTACAAACTTGGGATTAGAAGTAGCCCTGCACAAGCCAGGTTTTAAGAGAGCACCCATGCTACTAAATGACGCACGTGCTTCAGGAAGCGAGGTCACGCGCATCATCAGGGTCTAATGCCCAGACCTCCTTGCCTCCTTGCAGTTTACCTTCCTACCTCTCATGCCCTCAAGAGTGCTGCTTTGGGATAAAAAAATTGGAGTTGATTACTCACTTCCCTGCTTACTAACTTCCTTCATCAATTTCTTTCCTGTCCTTATGTGGATGAAATGAACCCAAGTGTGTAAAGGGAGTTGCACCCCGACCCTTCTTCAGGGAGGCCATAGGATGCAGAGAGGACAGTGCCGGTTTTGATGCCATAAAGCCCCCGATTCCTATCCTGGGTCACACCAGCTCCAGGACCCTCTCCGGTTCTCTGGTTCCTCATCTGCAGAATGAGGATCCTGCTGACCTTGCAGAGTTGTGAGGGTCAGCGATAAGGTGTATCAACCTGGCCTGGGCACCAGTTAACATGTTGAAGCAACATGCTCCTTCCCATCCTAGTCTTTTCATATTCCGTTCAGAATGTAACTGGCAGAACCTTCATTTCCACCTTAATCAGAATCATGAAGCTCCAACTGCTTTATAAGAGGCCCTCATTCATGCTAACTCGAGTCATTAACAGGGTGGATTCCAAAAGCTTTTGAGTTAAGTGGTTAAAATTCGGAATTCATTTGCTGTAACATTGGTTCATTCAACAAAATCCTCCCTGGGTAGCTCTGTGTGGGAAAAACTAGGGATGTCACAGCGAATAAGCCACAGCCCTGCTCTCGAGAAACGACACAGCAACTGATAGGCTTTCAGGCTGGCCCCTAATGAGTATGTATTCATTCTACGATGTGGTGGTGATGGTGACAGGCATGGGCTTCCTCGGCATCAGCAGAAGGGAGGTGGTGGTGTTGAAACAGGTTATGTGCTTTGGCATCCTCCTATGCCCTCAGGCCAGGATCTGCAGAACCCCCAATTAGCCCCCTGCCCACCAGACCCTCTAAGGCCAAGTTCCAAACTATTTCCTTCTCTCTCATCCAACTTCCAAACCCTCAGGACTGACTCCCACAACTCACCTTGAGACAATTTCACTTACTTTGTAAAAGAGAACCAGCAATGACCCAAAGGAATCACTGAGGCTCTGATCTAACTAGGTTAGGATCCCTCAAGCCTGCCACATATGGTTGTGCAGGTTGTGCACTGCACAAAAGTGCCTGGCCAAGGTGGCTATGGGTACTGAAACTCAGTCTGCACTCCACTCACTAAGCCAAGCACGTTGGGTAGAGCTGCATCTGCAGGAAGAAGGGGCATCTTTTCTTAATTTGTACAAAGGTGGTGTACGGGAGAGGGGTGGCCCTGTCCCTGCCCCATCACGTGCTTCTGTAACATTCTGTTTTTTCCCTTTTCACAGCACTTATCAATCTGTTAAAACCTTGTTAAACTAAAACTACAAAGTCTTCTCTGGAAGTGAGCAAGCTCCGTGAGAGTAGAGACCTGGTCTTATTTTCTGTTGTATCATTAGCCCTTCACTTCAAATGAAGTGAAGGCCTATACCTGACACAATAAACATCAGTTGCATGACAGGAATAACTGAAGGACAGGAGGGAGGGGGGGAACGCCTAGGATTTAGGGAGGAACCAAAGTGCTGCAATACGCTCAGGGAGCGATCTTGGGGTAGCACTCACACGGTGGTGCAGCGCCGTAATCAGCCACCCAAGACTGTTAACTGTTTTTCCCGGCTTCGTTCTCAACCTCTGAACCCACAGGGTCTCAGAAAACTCAAAGCGGCTGCAACAAGACGACCTAGGGGGATTGCTCTGAAGAAAGCAGGATAGCCATCTGTGTCCTTGGTCATTTTAAAAAGGACCCGGAACTGCTTGCTTTAATGAGGACCAAATATGCAGACCTGTGGTCTGACAAAGAAGCTTTATCATTTAAAAATTACCTCTGATTTATGCGACACCTAGAAGTAGCAGGCACTCATCAGGCATTTTATTCTTACGACCAGCTGCTAGGAGGCTTATGATAATCCCATTTTATAGATGAGGAATCTGAGATCAGAGAGAGAAAGTGACTTGCCAACGTCCCAGGACTAGTAAGTGATGGCCTGGGACTGTACATGGAGGTTCAATTACATGGAGCTCTACATCTAACGCACAGTCTCGGGTAAAGAACAACTTCAGGAAACGGGCTGTCTGGGAAAAGTGGGTGAGGCCACAGGAAACAAGACCAAAACGGGCCACGTTAGTGCTGAAGCTAGAAGCCCACGGAGATGCATTCAGGATCCTCTCCCCACGTCAGCCTGAAGGAACAGGCTGTCACCTCACGTATAAGGAGGAAACCAGGAGCTCCTGTGACAAGTGACCTCAGGGTGGGCCCCTCTGCCCGCGGAGCCAGACGTTAAGCTGACTTGATGCTCCAGCAGGCCTGGCCTTCCAGCACACTCACCTTGAGAATTGAGGGGCAAGAAAATCCAGATGGAGACGCAGGGGAGTATTTTCTACCTCAAATGTACTCTTGGCTCAACCAGCTTTGGACAGGGCTTCCACTAACCTGGCCACTGATGGCAAGTTCTGGCACCAGCCAGGAGAAGAGGCCCATGTCTCTCCTCCTAAATACCAACTCTTCATGCCAGACACATACAAATGACAGAAAAAAATACTTGTCTCTTTCAGGGAGTACGACGGAAGGTCTGATCTTCACGTTGGAATAACCAACACAAACGGTGAGTGCATTTTCATAGCTTAAATAACCCCCACAACACCCAGTTAGAGAAGAGCAGTATTTCTAGAGGAAAGGCAATCACGGCAACATTTAATCGGCGACCGCTCTGTTCCCTGGGTTCTCCTGCTGCACCATGAGGTGGGCAATGGTACCCACAAAAGAGAAATACTTGACTTTACGGCAAGGTGTTACTACTAATAGTACTGGATATTTGAAAGCTCTTTAATGTTTTCTCAGCCAAGAGCATCACAAACCTGTAAGTTTTGCTGGTTTTTAAGAGACAAACAGATGTCCAGAGAGGTTGAGTTGCCCAAGACCTCGTGTTGTGTTGGAAGCAGAACTGGAGCCAGGCCCTCTGTCCCCAGTCCTATACTCAGCACAGTGCCACGGGAACCTCACAATCTAGGGTCTCCAGGGGCCAGGCAGGGACCCCAGGGGTAGACCAGGGGGATAGAGCACCTGAGCATGTGGTGGGGTCTGCAGTGGTTTGCTTTAAAAAAGAGAAGCATGTTTAAACAAAACGGTTCCTTTGGTCAGATTTGGCTCTGAGGGCGCAGAGGCTGCAACCCCTGACACCAGCACATCCTGGTCTGCAGGAAAAGGGCAGGGTGGGCACTTGCAGGAAGTTGTAGGTCTGGGAATGGTGAGTGAGGCCAGTCTAGTGAGGCTGTCATCACAGCCCTTCTTACCCCTTAAGGCAGGAGAAACTGACACTGAACAGAAACCTAGGACTGGGTTTTTGAACTCGAGTTACCCATGTGAGCAGCCAAATTTACCACTAGTCTTTATCAGTGGAAATTTACTGCTGATTTAAGGGAAGAAGATAGACCCATTTGTAATAGCAAACTTCAGCAAAAGTATTTGGAGATGATTATCCTGGCACCCACTACTGTCTCCTTGTCCTGGGGGCGACTTCCCGGCGCTGAAGAGCAGGTGGAGCGAGGACTGGGCTTCCCTGAAGGAAAGGCTTTGCTGAGAGCAGGGGAGGCAGAGGCTCCACGAACCCCTCCCGACTCCAGGCAAGACCAGCTCGCAATCTCTTGGGTGGGTGGCTGCCTCTCGAACTGGACCCTGGAGGAAGGAGACTCTGCAGCCTCTCAAGGCCCGTTGCTCTCTGACTAATCAGAAAGTGCAATCTGGGTTATGGAGAGTTACCACAGTGGCTGCTGTTATTTTCTGAAGCCTCCTTTCACAGAGGTGCATTTCCCCTTCAGCTCCTGCGTGACTCTGGTTTGGTTGCAGGAGTGGTGTATAATTACACCGCGCACGGTGTCCAGCGAGATGAGACAGGCTGGGAGCAGAGTGTAAGCATCCCGTTACTGCAGCCTGGCATGTTTGGACTGATGGACCAGTGGGACAAGTACCTGGAAGACTTCTCTACCACGGGGGCCTGGCTGCCTCACAGGTACGGGGTTCAGAGACTACCCCTCCCAGGCCTCATTCACCACACGGGTGCGATCCCAGCTCACGAGGGCTGTTTAGTTCATGTTGAGCCTGTATCAAGGTAGTAGTGCCTATAACAGAATTCAAGCAGGGGTTGAATTACTCTGGGTTTTCTGCAGAGATAAGCACATTTACACAACAGAATCACAGCATTTTAAGAACTCACAGGACCAGAACTTAGTACTCTAGTTATTTTAGTTATTTGGCTAGGTATTTTTGTACTTAACATTTAATAATATGTACACCAAAAGCCACAATAGTATACCCCCTTAAAACAAAATTTTTAAAAAATTATGTTCAAAATGTAAAACTATCCAAAGTTTTTAAAAAATTTTTTGTTTCAGGAAGTTTGAAATTTTTCAATTTCTTGCTCTCTCAACACTTTAGATATATAGCATACTTGTGGATTTAAATTGCTTTGAGGCTTCCCTTGAAGTAAGTTTAGACACTGTGGGATATGCTAAAACTTAGAAATGAAATTCTACTTCTAGAATCTAGAATTTCAGTGAAAGTAAGTTCCCCAAATTGGCAGTTTACGTACAACTTAAGTCATCAGTCTGAACATTTGGATGACTCCTATCTGTACTTAAGTTGCTAGTAGAAATAGCCCAAGATGTCAAGGGTCTCTCAAAGCTTTGCTGTCATGTGGGCCAGCACACGTAGGGGTGCAGCTCACTGAGTGAGCCCAATTTCAATTCTGAAAGTCCTTTGGCAGCTTCCCAGCCTGTTTCTGAGCAGCCTTTGAAGCTAAGCCTTCTCTTCTCAACATCCATGTTTTGTAAGGTATGAAGAAGACCATCACAACTGCTACAGTTATACCCTCACGTTCATTAACTGCATTCTGACCACAGAAGGCAGGGAGCAACTGGACAAGGCCGAGTTCACGGAGAAATACGTGGTCCCGAGGACAAGGAAGGTTTCCAAGTACATCACCCTCTACCGGGCGATAGAAGTGCGTGGCTTCTACGTGGTCGACCACCCTGATCAAGAGACAAGCTCTCCTCCAGGAAGTGCTTTGTGCTGAGTGTGCTGCGTAAGGGCAGAAGGGACAGAAGTTTGGGGGTTACTACCTTTAATAAGTGTTAGGGATTTCTAAATGTGTTAAACTGTGGTTATTAAAAAAGTGTTATGGCTTTCCTTTAAGCATATTTCAGCTTAATGCAGTGTAAGAATTTATAAAATTAATAAAAATTGCCCTGGGTTTTCAAAGTTGTATGCATTACAACTAAATTCCTTTCACAATGGTTCGGTTTTTAAACTGAGAATCCATATTACAGCATAAAGTGGCAGCATCTTGTGTTCACAGAGCAATGAAAACTCTTCTTATATGTTAATTAGAGCTGAACAAATTCACCTTTCCATGTGAATCCAGAAAGTGCGGATTTGTAGGAAGGTGAGTGAGACACTTGAAATTTATGAAGTAATGAGTACCTTCACCTCACTGTTTTATTTAAAAAGCACGTGGTAACTTTTTGAGAGTCAGTAATAGTGAAAAAAAAAGAAAGAAAAAAAGATCTCAGAATCTAAGTTAGGAAATGGGCACTCTTCAATTAGCCTTTCTGAGTCTGTGTGTAAACTGGACTGGCAATTCCTCAAGCCAGCAGAACGCCAGTCTGTTTCCTTCTCATTTTGCCTGACCTGACTCGAGGAGATTGGGGTGTTTGGTTTACCACAGCAAAGGACCTCCCCTGCCTACATTAAATGTAGAATTCAGAAAGGACATTAGGAAAGGTCTTGTCTCCTCTAACATCTTCAGGAGGAGAAAGGGGAAAACTGGGATGAATAACGATAAAGAAATGACGTGATTTTTAACAAGCATATTAGAATTTGTAAACCCAAATAATCATCAAACTTTAGCCAGTGAGCAAAACATTTCAGAATTGCTTTTTGGCAGCTGCTTCCAGAACTTTGTTTACAGATGAAACATGAAATACTACTCCACCACCAAATGATGTCTGATTTCCAAAAACCAAACCCATCTTCAAGGTTCCCATCTTCAATGTACCAAACCCATCTTCAAGGCACCAATAATTATTTAGTAATAAATACATTCAGAAAACTTGCTACAGATCCTTAAAGCTTGTTTCCAAAAAGAATTAGCAATATTGAGGACAGCAATGCAGAAGTGCTCCAGATGGAGGAGGAAAGAGAACTAAGACTAAAAAGAAATGAAGAAACTCTCCCGAGAAATATCCAACTCAATTAGGAAATCCAACATAAGGATTATAGGTATTCCAGAGG